CTTTTCCCAACTCTCCTCAGACGCCTCACTCAGGTACTGCTTGAAGACTTCTCTACGTTCCCCTATTTCTTCTTTCAGCTCGTCATCCCACCACTTAACCGATACCCCACATCGTACCACCTTCCTTCCCACTACTCTCTCTGCCGTTGCGTTCACGATGGACTCCCACCCTTCAATCACCCTGTCCCCTGCTGTCTGTACGTCTACCTGTCCGTCTTCGACGCTTCTCAACAGTTTCCTGAAGGATTCTACACTACCAGCCAGCCCCTTCTGGAATTCATCCCGTGTCCATGGACTGGGGGACGCGAAAAATGCCCAATTCACGTAATATGCAGACTGTGAACTGAAAGGCGCAACGACAACGGTCAAATTGATGAGGCAAGCGACAACCCCCCCCCCCCCCCCCCCCCCCCCCCCCCCCCCCCCCCCCCCNCCCCCCCCCCCCCCCCCCCCCACGCTCTGCTTTACTGGCGACCAGGTCGTGGTTGTACAATCTCACAATCACAACCCGATGGATATGTTGCGGGTGAACAAGAAACCGAGCGTCGCGAGGGCCCTGGGGAAGCTGAACGTGGACGTTGACCCGGACGTTTTCGGGACCTGCGCTGTGAGAAGTTGCAGCCAGTTGTTGCTGATGCTGTTGCTGTTGCAGTCAGTTGTTGTTGCTGCTGCTGTCACCGTCAGTTGTTTTACTGCTTGTTGACATCCATGGTTGGTGGACCTTGCTTCAGCACTGCTAGTATAGTGAAGGCTAGAATAGACGTTTTGTTCTGCAGACCGAAGCGTCCTTGACTTGCAAGGAAGTATTCGCCATACAAGCACGTGTTTAGCTCAAGACATGTCGCAACGATTGAGTTCGAGGGCTGTACCGAGCAACTGCTTTACATTTTTGGAGGCGTTTCTGGCGCTTATTCTGAGACAGGCTTGCTTCGAACAAACTACCCGCAGGTGTGCCTGCTCAGCATGTGTGACGTGTTCATCAAATTTGCTTCATGCTGGCCTGAATGGCTGGTTCTGTAGCCGAACACATGGCTGGTTGTGCCTCATGTTGAGTAGGGACGTAGAGACCAACCTTGCTTCGATATGCATTGTCCCCCGGCAACCACCCGTTGTGCGGGAACCAAGCTTCTGGTTCGAAAACGACCTGCTCAGCTGTTTCTCGGGCCAACCAGCGTTGATTCGAGAAGGCCCGTCCAGCTCCTCCGTAACGTATGCCGAACGCAAACCACCCGGCTCTCAACGGCTCTTTAGACTTCGCCCACCCACTTCGTAGCCCCCCGTGATCCGGTTCACGTTGTTGTGCTGTCTCTCTCCTCCCCTCTCTACATTCTTGCCCCCTAACGTCTCTCTTCCTTTTTTCTCCCTCGCCCTGTCTCCTCCTATCTGTCGCTGCTGGCGTCATCGGTGCAGCTACGGTTCCTGCTCAAACCTCGGCCGGAGTTCAAGGGGCGCTACTGCGAGGAGCGCTCAGCGGTGCTGGTGAGCCACCTCTGGTCGTTGCCTTTTTGTGCGGTCCTGTCGCATTCTCCTTCACTCCCTTTGTGCTTCTGTCGACTATGGTGTTGGGGCTTCGCACCTTGGCGAGGGCAGTTCCCCCCCGGTTTTCGTTCCCACTCGTGCACAGGCCTTTTGAGGGTGTTTTCACTTGAATGAAACTGCCGAACATCACACAACCCCCTTGGAAGGATGTATTATTGTTTGCACAGCAAAGGAAATTTCACCTGTATGATTCCGGATCTCGTTTTTCGAGAGGCAAGCCTACGTGGTTGGTAGAAAGTGGGAGCCGTGGTCACGAAATGGGACAAAAAACTGGGAGCCACTTTCACGAAATGGGACAGAAGCTTAACCTGTTTGCGAAATAGGCCTGAGCGCACGTTGACTAAACTTAACGCGTAGCAGGCGAGCACACGTATATTGTACACACAAAGCACGGAAAGGCCGCGAGCGTGTTGCAGCGAGCGACAGCCCGCCGGGGGGAATCGAAACAACAACGGTGGAACACTGTGGTCGTCTACATGGTGTAGTTTATCACAAGTACCTACGTGAAACACTCTTAAACGTGCGATGCATCCTTGAAACACTTCGTGAACGCGCACAGGGCAACAAGACCGCGAGCATTTCCTTGCACCTTCGGACCGGGGACAACCCTAACTACCACCCGGAGTGGTACAAGACCCTACCTACGGTGAGAAGAATCACTTTTAGACTAATCCTTTTTTGAGCCGTTTCAAGTGTTGCTCTTTCGTGGACGCTTGTTTTCACTTTGTTTAATTTCATGCCATTCTTCGTTGTTGGCCTTCATAGAGGTGTGAGCAATGACGTTTTCGTTTAGGAGGTTCTTCATATTTTTTGTGTATACACATTTTTTCGTTCGTCGGCATGCATGGCGGAAATACACTCTGTAGAATCTAGGGCAATCCTGCGGTTGGTTGCATGCCGGTCTATTCTGTATTCCGGACTGGTCTCTTTCCTTCCGCTACTTTGGCAAGGAGTATCGGAAATCCCACAATATACGACGCACGTGTTTTTCATCCTAGAAACCTACGCGCCAAATCCACGCTCCAATCCCGCGCAGATCACAAATCGCGATCAATACACATACATGATCCTATGGGATCTGCGTTTCAAGACCCCACGTATGTACGTTGCAATGAAACCAGAAGTTTAACAATTGACGCGAAGAGAATCCCGAAACAGGACTTGGAGAACTTCACCGCTTGCGCGACGGGGCTCGAAGAGGGGCTGGCGATGGTCGCCGCGATGTACGCAGCAACACCCGGTGGGACCGTCCGTCGGTTAGACTAGTTTTGTAGGCGTTGTGGGGGTGTGTGCTCATAGTCGTGCATGTCGTAATCGTTAGACCATTGACCTCGCATCCCTACGAAGCCGGGACGGAGCACGCCGGATCCTCACCGGACCAGGTTCTCACCGGGCCAGGCTCTCACATCAAGCGCGAAGCGCCGTGAGATATTCGGCGAGTCGCATGAAGGGTGCGCTGCATCCTGCTGAGGGTNTCCCTACAAAGCCGGGACGCCTCACCGGACCAGGTTCTCACCGGGCCAGGCTCTCACATCAAGCGCGAAGCGCCGTGAGATATTCGGCGAGTCGCATGAAGGGTGCGCTGCATCCTGCTGAGGGTGTTCGGCATCTTGTGCTTACTTCCTTGCGTGCGGATGACAGCTGCGTATGACTTAGTTCACTTTCTGGTGCTTTCACTTCCAGAGACAGTTGTAAGCACTGTGTAACTGCCTCGAGGGTGCTTGACCATTTTGACACAACGTGGTGCGATCATCCCCCTTGCGCGGAGCGAGGGTTTTCGACCCCGCACAGCATGATCTACTCGACCACCATTATGGTTACCGTAAAAAAAAAAAACAGAGGTAAAAACAAAAACGGTAACCTGGTTTCCGAGTGTACGAAGTGAATTGGCTTGTTTACGACGTCGTTGCCAAGCGACGAAAACCCAACCCCGATGGCAAACACCGGGGCAGGGGGGCGAGGGGGGGGCAAATATTGCTCTAGGGTGGAATAGATCTTAGCAGTTGTTGTTTTTGTTCTTGTTCTTGCGTGCGCGGTTTGTGTAAGTATCAAAGAAATTTCGTCAGCCCCGGCGAACAAAACCCTCCGGGGCACTCGTCGACCATCGGCAGGATGCCGAAATGTGTTATTTGGAACTATCAATTCTAAACGGAAATGGCGGGCACCGGCCACTTGAAAATACTTAAATGACCATCTGCAGGATGCCGGCATGTGCTATTTGGGACTATCAATTCCAAACAAAAATAGCGGGTACCGACCACTTGAAAATATTTACATGGAGGACCACAGAAGACATCAATCTGTGTCAAGCGATTGCAACTGTACTCGCGGCATCGGCGGGATTGTTTGATCAGTTCTGGGACCAATGACTGAGTGGTTCACCTCATGCCCCTGCGTTCCTGGCAACGCTGCTGCGTGTCGCGCGAACGAAGGGCCCGACTTCGACATCTTCAGCACGTTCATGGAACGACGGGACTTGATCTGGGTCCTGGGAACCGACAGCTCCGAGATCATCAACCTTCTCACAGAGGTGATGACTGATTTGTTTTTGGTCGTGGAGTCGTTTTCCACCTGCCGCTCTCGTGCATCGTTGTCGCAAGACCGCCGCGGCTGTGTTCGTCCCAACAACGAGACGTGCTGGTGTCCGGGGGCGGGGGGGGGGGG